AAAATTTTGACCCCTAAAACCCTTAAAACTTCAAAATTAAACCCTAATACAACATATTTAACCCAAACATAAATGATATAATGAAATTTTTGTTGAAAAAGTGGCATTTTTGCAAAGATTTTGAAAATATGACATTTTTGAAAAGTGGCATTTTAATAATTTCTCATTTTGGATTTTTTTTTCTTCAGAAAAATTTAGATATCCAGAATTATAGATATACCGATTTCTTTAGATTATATATATTTTAAAGTAAAAAAAAAAGAGAAATTTTTAAAAATGCCATTTTTCAAGTGCCACTTTTCAAAAATGCCACTTTTCAAAAAAAAAAATTTATTATATCATTTATGTTTGAATTAACTATGTTGTATTAGAGTTTAGTTTTGAGGGTTTAAGGAGTTTTAGGGGTCAAAATATTTTTAAGGGTTTATAATTTTAAGATATATGCTCTATAAATCCACAATTAGTGGCATTTTTGCAAATGTACACCCCTAAATGGTATTTTTACAAATGTACACCCCAAAAGTGGTATTTTTGCAATTACCCTAAAAAAAATCAAAACACCATTTAAAAATAAATATTTAATATAATATTTACACTAACTAATAAATAAATATATTAAATTACCTAATTTTACTCCATATAATTAAAGAAAAATGACGAATTAAAGATTAAAATGGTAAAAAATAAAACATCTTTAATTTAAGAAAAAAAGTTATATTTTCAATAAAAAGCTAGTATCTATCTATTTTTACTATAAATTAGGTGATTGATCCGCATCGTGTGCGGATATAAAACTTTTTAGAAGAGTACATTAATTTTGGTATTTAATAATACGATTTATCGTCTACAAAAAGAAATATAAATGATTGTTAGTTTTAAACATTATATGCATGTAAGAATTCAATATACATAGAAATAATATTTTGAATGTTGCAGCAAAACTATAGACGCTTTCGTTTTATAATTTTTTTTTTTGTGTTGAAATAAACATCAATGATGGGTAAGAAATTATAAAGAAATTTGGAAAATGATATAGTTTATGTAATACCTTCACACATAATTAGTGTTCTTCAAAGTTGCAACATTAATTTCTAAAAATGAAAAATATACCATTAGAACATATATAAGAAAAAATTGTATGTTGAGTTTTAACATTGCCATGATCTAGAGTTCTATATATGGGAATCTATGTAAAATTTATCAGATAGAAAATATTTTGTCAAAGATTTGTGGTACAAAATCACTATTTTAGAAAAAAATCACAATTTTATAAACAAAAATTAAATCAAAATATTCGACAAAAATCTAAACAACTATGGATATCTGCGGCTATATTCTTTTTTTTTTTTGGCAACAGTATAATAAACTACTTTACGACCAGTTGGATATCCAAGCTGGTGGTGATGTATTTACATAAGCAATATCTGAC